TTTTTTTTATTTTTTTTTTTTTTTTTTTTTTTTTTTTTTTTTTTTTTTTTTTTTTGTTTGCTGTGACGCATAAATTTTCATCTAACTGACACAAGCATCAGGCAAATGCGTACAAATGCGCACCACACATGTGTGCATACAAACAAATATGTCTTTGTATGTATGTCCGTACATACGTACTCACACACACACGCGCACATGTTGTGGCAGCATTCTGCTAATGCCATAGCATTGCGTATCAAAGGCACCTGGACTGGAGCCAGTGCCGCAGACGGAGCCCAATTAACTCTAATGCGTGTTCGCTGTCGGCCTTAAAGATTTTGCTGTTCTCTGCTTTTTGCCTTATTCGCTCTTTACCTTTAATTTCTGCGAGGATCGTCTCGTATAGCCGCAGGGCGAACGCCGATGATCGTTGTCCAAAAAAAAAAAAGAACAGTCGTTCAACAATAACAAGAATAACAGCAAAAGAACAATGTGCGATCCTGCTTTGCTCAATCTTTGTCTGCGATCGAGTTCAAAGCAACAGCAGCAATGCAAGATCATCGCTGTCTCGGCCGATGCTACTGCGAGCGTCGCGGCGCTGCTTGCAGCGGCAGCGGCAGCAGCAGCGCCAACGGCAACGGCAGCGGTACCTTGACTTTTGACGTTGTTCCGTATTGCAATAGCCTGAACAAAACACAATAAAGTAATGTCTTACTTTAGTATATAGTCACACAGACACACAAAATCACCCACACACATACATACATATATACACACACAATCAGGGAAAACAGATTCTATTTTAATTACGCAGGCGGCCTTCCGAATGAAGACCATTGACAATTGACGATTTGCGTTTCGCTTGATTTTGTTGTTTGTTGTTTTAGCTTTGTTTAATGAAAAGCGGAAAACTGACAACGACTCAGTTAGCAATAGATAGTTGAATCAAACACCCATAGCGCGAAGAGCCGGCTGCGTTTGATTTTAGTTGAGTGGGGGTCGATAAGGGGCAAAGGCTGTGGGGCGGAGGTGTGACAAGCAACGTACAGTGCACACACGGACGCAGCCGCGTGCCGTTTGTTATTTATAGCTATTTGATGCCGTTGCCTCTTCCCTGCCGCAATGGCAACAGCAACATCAGCATCAGCAACAGCAACATCAACAGTAACTGCGGCGTGTTTGTCGTCGTCTGCTCAAAGTGAACGCAAAAACGAAACGCGGGGCCAACAACAGCAACCGCTGCTGATAAGGAAAACGCATAGAACGCGATCGAACGGCGAGTGCAAAGATCGCGACAAAACTGATCCATTCATTTCAATGCTCGACCGACGGACTGTCTCATAGATTAGCGACAAGGAATTATATGAACTCAGCATGTGCAGGTAAGTTACCCATGATTTACTTTGACTATGATTGGGCTGATATTGGCTTCTCGAAATTACGACCTTTGAGTTGAATTCAAGTATCCTCGACTACACTAACAGTATGGGAGAAGTTCCACCTGTAGCAGGCAATCAAATGATGTTTATACAAATATGTGTTTGTAAAATATTAATATTACTTGTTAGTGCACTTGATTGATTGTATTCACTCTTCACACACTCCGGATCTTTTTGGACTTTATGCGAACACTAATTTTGCCTCAGATCAAACAAGTTTGTTGCTATTATTCTTTCGTTCGCGTTATTTAGCCGCAACAATGGAATACACGTCCGTTCACGACGAAAGGTTCTCGCGATTTGATTGGAGAGATTCAAACATAAACAGAGCCAACGCTTCAATTGCTGCACAGCTGTGCCTAGCAGAGAGTGAGCTAGAAAGAGAGGGGTATAGAGGGAAAGGGATAAAGCGCATGTGCCTAGACAATTACTAACAGCTGCTTTTGAAAACGTACAACGTATAACGAATATTCAAATTTCAGGTCAAATCATTGTCAAGTTGTCACATCTTTAAAAATTAAAAATTATTTCTTATAGATTAACTATAAATTATTATTCAATGTTTTGTATTATTATTTCAATAAAATATTAAAGAAACTAAAACTGAATCGAAATGAAGACTTAACCCGAAATTCTTAATTGTTTAAATAAATTTTAATTGACCGAATCTTCGTGTGCAGAAAGTTCCATAAAGAACCGATTGTTTATTTCAGATCAGGAATTCATAGATTTCATTGAGTTATTCAAACATATTTTGTAGGTTTTGTAAATAAAAATCAAATTATAATAAAATATAAAGTTTCACACACACATATCTTAATTTCTTTAACAATAATATATAATCCATACCGTTTTTTGCTTTTATATTAACATTTAATTTTGAACATTTTGAAAAAAATCAACAACGATAATTTTTTATTTTACGACATTGTGATACACCAAACCATCGATTGTAAATATATCGATAAACACAAATCAGAAAATAATAACGGCGTTGCATGTGGTTATTGTGTCCGTCGGATTGCTAATTTTGGAACAGTTTTTAAGAGGACATTTTTACACGCTGTAATGACGCAAAGTTGCGAAACAACGAATTGTAACAATGAGGCGACGCTTCAGTGCCCCACTTGCATTAAATTGGGAATCAAAGGCTCATTTTTCTGCTCGCAGGCGTGCTTTAAAGGCTTCTGGAAAGAGCACAAGGTGATCCATGCATTAGCTGGTATGTTCACTTTGTAATAAATTTTAAATAAATGTTAATATCTGCGGTATACCAATCGGATATGTATTGTTTCAAATTAGCCGGTGGTCAGAAGCCTGTCGTTGATGATGGTGTTTACAATCCATGGCCGCACTTTCGCTTCACCGGCAAACTGCGTCCGTTTCCTCAGACTCCCAAACGTGCCGTTCCAGAGGCAATCCAGCGTCCAGATTACGCAGATCATCCTGCTGGGCGATCTTTGTCGGAAGAAGCTCTGCGTGGAACCACAATCAAAGTGCTCGATGATGACGAAATTGAGGCAATGCGAGTGGCTGGAAGACTGGGCCGTGAGTGCCTAGATGAGGGTGCCAAAGCCATTGAAGTCGGCATCACAACCGATGAATTAGATCGCCTGGTGCACGAGGCAGCCATCGAGCGCGACTGCTATCCATCCCCGCTCAACTACTACAACTTTCCCAAGTCATGCTGCACCAGCGTTAACGAGGTCATTTGTCACGGCATACCGGACTTGCGTCCCTTGGAGAATGGCGACATATGCAACATCGATGTGACTGTCTATCATCACGGCTTTCATGGTGATCTCAACGAAACTTTTTTCGTTGGCGACGTCTCAGAGAAGCACAAGAAGCTAGTGCGCGTTACATACGAATCGTTGTGCAAAGCTATTGAACTGGTGCGTCCTGGCGTGAAGTACCGGGAGATAGGTAATGTCATCCAGAAGTACGTGGCGCCTCATGGCTTCAGCGTCGTTCGCAGCTATTGCGGCCATGGCATTCATCGCGTTTTCCACACTGCACCTAATGTGCCACACTATGCCAGTAAGTGAGTCTTAGTTTTCTACTTGGATACCGAGCTCATGTTTTGTCACTTCCACAGAGAACTCTGCCGTTGGCGTAATGGCCCCTGGACACTGCTTCACAATTGAGCCAATGATTTCCGAGGGTGTTCAGAAGGCAGAGTCCTGGCCAGATGACTGGACTGCCGTCACCGGGGATGGCCTCTACTCGGCACAGTTCGAACAAACTCTGTTGGTTACCAACAATGGTTGTGAAATCCTCACGAAACGCCGTGAAAAAAACGGACAGCCATGGTTCATGGACAAAATGTAGTTATTAAAACGACTGTTCTTAAATTGAGCTTTAATTTATTTTTACAATAAAATATAAAGTTTGTCGTTTAAGTTCCGTGTAATCACAACTGTCCCAAGTGTAGCGTCCATTTGTTACTTTTCGAGAGGTGCATAGTTGAGAAGCTTCTCAATGAGATCCACATGGCCAAGCAACATCCGACGGCAACAATAGCGCTTTAATCCTAAAGCATCCAATGCGTCACTAAACAATAATAATAATATACAGGTAATTAATAATAAATTATAAATAATATAAAAGGCAGCTGAAGTTGCTTTGCTTGCAGAGCAGCGAAACTTACCCTTCCGTATACTCGGCCTGTAGCAAGCCTAGGTAAGATTCCCATTTATTACCAATAACCTTCCCACAGGTAAAACACCGAATTGGTATTATCATATTTATAGTATTTGTCTTTTTATGACAATTTATTTAATTTGTGCTTAGCGCACACTTCTGTTTAGCTTCTTTTTTACCATAAAGGCTGCCAACTTGTTTCACATGATTGCTTAACATCGATAGTTGAGCACATGGTCTGAACATTGGTTATTTATCGATACTTAACAGTGTGGCCCATTTAAAAATGCGCGCGTATGTTCAGATTCATATTTTTAAACTAAAGTTGAACCGATAGCGATAAAATGGTAAATTAGTATTTATATTTCAGTATGTATTCCATTAAAACATGCCTTCGTTATTTTTAAATATTATTTCATTTATTAATTAATTACACTATCGACTCTTTCTATAAGATTAAATTTACAAATGTGTGTTGTAAAATAAATATTTAAAGACCGCTAAGAACTATGTCAATAACAAAGATATATTCCTATTCGTTATCGGCATCTGTTTGACTGCCTGACACTTCCACTGAAGTTGAAACGGGATACAAATCCTTTGTTGCATTATTCAACTGCTGCGTGGACACATCTTCAAATGAGCCCTTCTTGAGATTGTCCGAACGTTTTTGTAGACGCTGCTGTAGTTTAAACGATTTCAAATAATAACCATAAGGATGTACGTTTTCAAAATGATTTTGTTTGCTTACCGTTTCTGGTGTTTCTTCATCTGGAACAAAAATACGCAAAGGTGTAGTGCTGCCCAATTGCTGCTGTACCAAACGCTGATGCTCCTCGAAAGCAGCAGCCGCCGGATCTGTGGGTTGGCGCTGCTGTAGTTGCTGCTGCTGTTGCTGTTGCAGTTGTAACTGTTGTTGTTGGTGCTGCTGTTGCAGTTGGTGAATTTGAAGTTGTTGCTGATGTTGTTGCTGCTGCAAGTGTTGCTCCTGTGCCTGAGCCTTCAGCTCTTCCAACTGCAACTCGTGTTGATATTGCTGTTGCTGTTGCTGCTGCAGTTCTTGTTGGTATTGCTGCTGCAATTGTGCATGGGCCTGTGCCTGAGCATGCAGCTCTTCCAATTGCAGTTGATGCTGCTGTTGTTTTTGAAGCTCCAGTGCAGCCTGCTCAGTTTCCAGCTGCTGTCGTCGGGCTTCTTCCTCGGCATAAGCTTGCAGCAGCTGCGAAGAGTCGTGCGAATTTCCATAGTAGTTGGACACCACAAATCCGCCCTCGGGTGCTGTGGAGCTCACTGATGCGGCGACATTGGTCAAGTGGAAGGGCGCCGTATCATACACAGGCTCTGCGGGCTCGCTCAGTGCAGGAGCAGCAATTAGAGCGGCGTATTGTGGAGCCGAGTCCAGGACTGGATGGATATTGTGTTGCGGATCCTTGGCGGCCTGCAGAATTTGCCCGTTGCTGGCCACCTCCTGCGTCAGGTCGGCGTTGACATAGCCCGTCTCTACGACGTGCTCCACGCTGGGCTTGAAGAGCTGCTGCTTGTGCTGGCTGTAGAGCTGATTGGACTGGGTGACCAGATAGGTGGGATTGTAGATGGGTATATGGGCGGCAGGTAGTGCTGCGGCGATGAAGGGCTGTGTCGTCTGCTGCTGCGTGAACTGGATGGGATAGATGGGCACTGTCTGTGCTGCTGCCTGGGCACCCACAATCTGGACCAATGGCTGCGCGGGCAGATGGTTGCTTTGCACATCCGACGGCAGCGGCTGGTTGTTGCTCGGCGTGTTGAAGCTCTCCGTGGCGATCTTCACCTTAGTGGTGGGCAAAGATGGATCCGGATCTGGGGCAAAGAGTTTCTGCGAACCCGAAATGGGATCGCGAATGGTTTTATCATTTGTCTCGTCCTCATGCACGCTGTAATAGCTGCTCTGGGGACGTTGAGTGCTCAACTGTGGTTGTTGTTGTTGTTGTTGTGGGGGCAGGTATGCGGGGTTTAGGCCGTCGTCAATCTGATTGTCGTGATCGTGGTGCTGGGCCAGATTGGGTGCGGGTACCGTGTAAATTGGTGCAAAGTGCTCGGTGTTGTAGTTGTTGTGTGTGTCCAGCTGCGGGTATATGTATGTATGTATATATGTATGTGTATAAGGATATCTCTCTATGTGTGCGCGTGTGTGTGCGTGCTCCGAGTTCCCTGCCCACTCCTTATGGTACTTACCGGCAAGTTCTGTAGTTCGCTGTAGGCAACGGCTGTGGGCTTCTCGTACTTGAAGGGCTTCTCGTATCCGAAGATGGGCTTCGAGTGCGGCTTCGAGTTGCTCAATTTGATCTTCAACGGTTTGCGCAGACTGCCTGCCGGCTTCAGGTAGACTGGAGCGCTGAGCTTCAGTGGGCGGGCGCCTCGCAGGTGCTGAGGGGCGGCTCCATGCAACAGGTGTGCGTGTGCGTGAGAGTGGGCGTGGCCATGCAGGTGAGCGTGAGAGTGCAGGTGCGAGTGTGAACCGAGGTGCTGGTGGGCGTGTGTGTGTGCGCCGGGACGACCCTTCAACACCAATGGCACTGGCTGATCACTGCGAATCTGGACGACCAAGGTGCGCTGCTTGCCGTTGGCTGAGGCGGCTGGATGGCGAGTCAGTTGGTTGGCGCTCTTGGGAGGCCAATTGCCGTTGCTGAAGATCAACGGACGCTTGACGGCAGACAGATCACAGCTGGCCAGACCGCACAGCAGCGTCAAGAGTACGAAATGCTAAAGCAGTAAAAATGTTACAAATTAACACGAAAATCCATTAAACGAAATTTAATTATCTCTTTTGCAGGTAAGTACTTAACGAAGATACATACATATATGTATGTATATATTTGTATGCATGTATATACAACTTTCTAAGCTCTATCAGCTCGCCAGCTGCATGAACAAAGGGGGGCAAAGGGAGGCAAGTCTGGGATGTATGTAATCAGCGGATGGACGGAGAACCGAAAATAATGGCCTTAATTTGTATAAATTGGCGGTTTTCTAAAATTTTATCACGTCGCCTGCCGCTGGCCACTAAGGCATAAGGCCATAATAAACCTTTAAGCATTTACATACACACACACACACACACACACACATGCATGTGTACATGTACGCGTAAGCATGTAAGCCATAACTGTGGGCACGGACGGGCGTGCAGCGGTCGCGTCTAATTAAGACTATGGGCCAATGAAAGTGAAATACCAAATTGATTTGGTTCTGCTACAAACATGGCCGGGCCACAAGTGAAGTGGAAGTCAACAATTTGCCAGTGTAATTGTTACAGCAACAACAAATTTCACTTGTCCACGAGACACTGGCAATGACAATGTTTTACCGTTAGTCCGGCCAGTCAATCAAGCGCTGCTTACAGGTGAAACTGTCAGCGCGCAGTGCGCAGCACAGCGCTGCACTATGGTTATTGATTACGTGCTGCGTTTGCCTAATCAAAGTGGCAGACGTAATTGAGACCCAATTGCTGCCTGGCTGTTTATCGAGTGGTTAGCAATTTGATACTGCTTTGTCGCCTGTAAGAAAATATGCATAATAATAATGGTCGACGGCCGGAGCGGGTGCACTGACTGGTGAACGAACTTGGGGTCCGTTGCATGAAAGTCAAGGTGCGCACGAATTGTATTCCATTGTTGAAATGGGATCTACATCACTATACCCTGACTGACCACGCTCCCCACTCAGAAACCACAATTGAAACAGCGAATTAGGCGATAGCATTGAAACAACCGCAAGCTAACCCAATTCGCAACGCATTTGGCCAACCTGAAAGTCAACTTTTATTTAGTATTAAGCTAACTGTTTCATCTTCCTCACTGCGTTGCACATTGAGGCAGAGCCAGAGCCAGAGCTAGAGCCAGAGTCAATGGCAATCGCAATCGCAATCGCAATAGCCAGGCAAGTGTAGCGAACGGCCCGGCCCATTGTTTGGTTGCCTGCAGCGAAAACTTGACGCATCAAGTGCTCTCAATTGCCATTGGCATAGGCATTGCTATTGCAATTGCAATTGCAATTGCAGTTGCTGCTGCTGCTACTGCACCGCAAATGAAAGTGCCCGCCAATCGCAATTTAACAAGTATTCAAAACACGAGCCACAGCGGCGCATCAATTGCAATTCAATTGAAAATATCACAAAAGCACAAAAATGAATGGCGCCATTGTCTTTGGCTTTTACTGCAGTTTTCGAAAAGAAACCCGAACTGCAACCCGACTGAGCCTGGGGCGTCCATAGAGATTGTGCATTTGCATAAAATGCATTTCCCATCGTTTGATGATCGATAATTGGAGCTCATAAAATCAGCGTGAGATTCTACTTACCTTCATATTGGGAGCGATTGTAGTTGCCTTTGCAGATGAAGAGTTTGTGGAGCGTGAAGAATAAGAAGAAGAAGAAGAAGAGTAAGGAAAGCTTTGGCTTGCAGCTGCGTTAGTGAGTGGCGAGTGAATGTGGTTTACTCCAACAACAAATAGATGAAGATTAAAATAGCTATTAAGTATATAATAACATCAATTAACTTCATGTCCACGTGCGCCGCGGCGCTTTCCTTCAGCACGACGAAAAATATAATACGAAACAACACACAAAATGCTAACCGGAGCTGCAAAGTCTGCAAGTCTGCACCTGTTCAGGTCGCGCTAACAACTGAGCTGAGCGCCGCCACTCGAACCGACTGTGATAGCTACTTGTGTCAGCCACTGGAAGTACACGTCTCATCGCTCACTGGAAGCCAATGAAACCGCA